GAAGACGCGGACTTCTGCAGCAGCACTCCCTCCCAAGGTCTGGTACCTTTTTTGTTTCTCGGGGCATGCCTCGATTTCTCTCTCTTCGAGCATCGTATAAGCCGGACGCGGACGAGCGGTTGCATGCGTGAACTCGCATCGCCCTCGCGGAATTCGCGGGACAAGTTGTAAGGTGATGTTCTGTCTTCTGTGCGTTAATTCGCACGGAACGAACTTAGCCCGGACTCGGCCGACGCACACGTCGAACGCTGTATGTACGTTATTGTTGTAATTAAGTGTAAAATAGCTGAACTGATGAGTTTATTCTGTTTAACCTGTCTCTCTCGTAATTAGTTAAATTACGATTATCGATATTACCGGACGACATAGCCCTCGTTAATTTTCCGCAACGAAGCGAGTGTGCCTTCCGAGCCTTTCCCCTTAAATAATTTGTGACGCAACGTTGTTCGGGCTTAAATTATTAACGTACGTGTTACATTATTACTCTTTTATACACAGCTATATGTAATACAATGCAAATAATATTTTTAAAAAACTGATACTATAACTGTTATTATTAATTTCGAAAAAACAAAATAGTTAATAATTATTTACAATTTATTTTAGTCTCAAATCTTATACTAATAAGCCGTTATTAATTATTTTTATCTTTTTCGTATTTATAATGAAAAGAAAATAATAATTATTACATAAAATTTGTAATATTTGGCACATATTGTTATGCAACATGAATGTTATTCAAGAAATACATTTATTTTTCGCTATTTATATAAGGTTAGCCCGTATGTGGTTCGGTAAGGGTGATTTATAAGGGTGGGGGTTAGATAGGTTAGGGGTAGGTGGATAAAAGGTATGTGATTCAGCTGGGATAACTCGCTTATGGTGTAAAATTCAATTATTATAAGAAATAACAAACGACTAAAGTTGCTTTTCCCAGGATTAGGTGGGTTAGCCTGCATGTGGTTCGGTAAGGGTGGTTTATGGGGGTTTGGTGGGTTAGAGGCAGGTTGGTTACTTGAGGTAGCTCGCTCATGGTCAAGTGATGACGGGCTTTTTCATCACAATAATGCGCTAGCGTATTTTCCAAATCTTTTGCAGTAGTTTCTGATTAAACACAGTATCACATTGTTTTGATAACTTGCGTACAGTCCCAAGATAGCCTCTTGTGACTTTTGGCTGTTTCAACAATTCAAAAAACCATTCTAAGAAAAGCGATTCGATTACAAAATGACGGTTGAAAATAATGTGATAAACATACTCAAGGCTATTCCTAAAAATGAGTTCCAGGACTGTTTTGAAAAGTGGAAACATCGCTGGAACCATGTTATTCAATTGAGTGGGGATTACTTCTGTAACGGTTCTATCTATGAGCTCTTAAGTAGACTATTCTCTTATTTTCTCTATATTACTGCAACCCGCAAAACTCATGAATCTACATCTATCAATCAGTATATTAAACGGCGCCACCTCATATATTATATGATTGTATTAGAGCTAGAGCTAAATTTCATGACCACATAAGGAGCGTGATGTCACTCTACTTATAGATATAGATATGCTAATTTTTATTGTTCAATTAAAATGCGTTATTAAGAGTAATTTCAATGAAACAAAGTATTTTTTATAGAGATTTCAGGGCATAGAATAAGATTATAATATTTTCAAGTATTTTTAACTATTGAATAGTATTGAATTTTAATGTGTAAACTTAATTCGTTTATAAACTTTGTAAATGCACGGAAAAAAAAGTAAGCATAGAGCAAGTGCGTAATTTCGCATCCAACGGCAAGCACAGAAGCCTAGACCTCAGATAGGTAAAGGTTCGACTAATTGCTAGTCGGCACCCACTGTACTGTCGTTAGCTGCAGAACTATAGTATGGGCAGGTCACTATGCGGACGCAGGCCAACTCGAGCGCGCTAGACTTAAATTTGCTCCAGTACGGACTTGGCAAGACCCATGGCTGATACGCTTAGTATGGTCTAAAGTAGCCCGATTTTTACGATTCGAAAACGGAAATGTTTATTTTTTTATATAGAAGCTAACGTTTTATATTTAATTAAGAATAAATGATTCATTGAAGTAGTCAATTATTTCAAGATCAAATGATAGCGGCCACTCGGCCGGGCTCCCTGCTGTGGACCCGGCCAGCGGTCGGGCGTTTTTGACCTGCTCTCCAAAAAGGTCAATCAAGAAATATCGAAATAATTGACTACTTCAATGAATCATTTATTCTTAATTAAATATAAAACGTTAGCTTCTATATAAAAAAATAAACATTTCCGTTTTCGAATCGTAAAAATCGGGCTACTTTAGACCATACTAAGCGTATCAGCCATGGGTCTTGCCAAGTCCGTACTGGAGCAAATTTAAGTCTAGCGCGCTCGAGTTGGCCTGCGTCCGCATAGTGACCTGCCCATACTATAGTTCTGCAGCTAACGACAGTACAGTGGGTGCCGACTAGCAATTAGTCGAACCTTTACCTATCTGAGGTCTAGGCTTCTGTGCTTGCCGTTGGATGCGAAATTACGCACTTGCTCTATGCTTACTTTTTTTTCCGTGTGTTAATTATTGTAATAAAGCATATACTCTAAACTCAAGATTCCTATCTTAGAAAGATGAGTAAGAGTTCGTTTCATTGATAATAACTTAGTTATAACTATTACCAATAAATAAACAATTAATAATTTATGTAAAAAAATAAGAGTATATGAATCAAAAACGTTACTTCAGTATATAATGACAACATTGTGATAATTTATTCATTTTAATTAACCGATTTTATATTTACATTATAAGATTATGAAAAAATACGAAAATTCATTATTATTCAAATATTAACTAATTTAAGTAATTCTTTTTTGAAATTATGTCTACAAGCGATAAACTATATTTATATGTAAAATTTTTTTATTATTTTATTGTAAATTTTGCGCTATTGTATCAACTAACTTCATTAGTTAATAACTTTTAACTCCGATTTTGGCGATAAATGTAAATTATGTAAAATTATCTGTTGCAACGATTATCGAAAATCGTAACGACTCGCGTGTACAGTCAAGCGTGGCTATGTGAAATAGCCGTGATCGGCTTAGGTTAGAGAGAGAGAGATCGAACGCGTTAGGGGCAACGACCGGGAGGGGAGGGCTGGCGAGTTAGTATAGCGGAGTTCGTCAGCCTAGCTGCATCGTTGTCTTTCGCCGAGTTACTTTGTTGCACAGCAGTGTCAAGGGACTTATAGGAGCTATTAAAAGATATTCTGCGCCGAGTGTTGTGAGTTGAGTGCGTGTCCTGCACCTCTTGCACAGCAACAACGGCTGCAACAACAACCCTACAGCAGCATTCACAGCGCAGCCCAACAACTGTAGCCAAAGCAGGTTGCAGCGGCAGCTCTTTGCTTTTGCAAGCGGATACGGTTGGCCACCGTATCCTAATCATCCTTGCGGTAAGTGCACTGCACTTTTGTGTTGATTTTGCGTGCGATCCCGCGCAGCGTGCGCGGTGAATTTTGTTGATATTGTTGTGCGTGCGATTAGTCCGTGGCGTCTGCGGAATTCATTCTCTCTCTCCCTATTCAATTATCCTTGTACACATCGCCAAGACTCTCGGCTACTCTTCCCGTGTATGAGATTTGGTTAAGGTAATAAAGTGGTTTGTGAGTAATACGAGACAACCTTATTATTTCGTCTCACCTTGCACCGGTGTTTATGTTTTGTTTTGAGCGCGCCGAGAATTCAGCATAGATCGCGAGCGCAATAGATAGAGTCGTTCATCGAACAAGTTATCGGCTGCAGTCGACAGAGCGCTGGGAAGCGAGTGCACCAGCACCTCTAGCAGCAAGTACGAGCATAGGAGTTGGTTCGCTACGAGAATTCAGCGCAAGCGCACACCGGCATAAGGTGAGTTAGCGTGCTCCAAGCACGCAGTTAGCAGAGCACCGGTTGGCCGTTACGGCAATTACCATTGCTTGAGTTTAGCGACTAAACGGTAGCCTGTTACACTGTATCACCTTCTGTATTTTTTATACGAATTAAATTTTCTTTAACCCTGTCTATTTTATTGTAAACAAGAGAAAATGATTTTCCACATTTGCGTAAATAGCATGAAGAGGGCTACCTTGCTAAAATGAGCGAGAAAATTTGTGTACAAATACACTGAATTTTGTACAGGCTGGTATTCTCTCCTTGCAAAGTGAGCACTCGAGATTGAATAAACTTGGCTTATACCTAAGTTGTTTTTCTCTAGTGATTAGCTAAGTAATCCTTCCCTTTTCTATTATAATTTACGCTCGATTCATAGAACATTTAGTGCTATGAGAAACTTGGGATGAATCACATCCTTTCAACGAAAATACTTAAGCTCTACTTATGGAAAACTTCGAGCCAAAAGAAACTAGAGTAAAGTCCATCCTTGATTATATTTCAAATCATACATATTTATATATATATATACAAGGTGTCCCATTTTTATTGACAGACTTGAATATCTCGAAAAGTTCACGTGTACGAAAAAATTGTTCATATAAAAGTTATTTAGGACAGTAGGGTTGGGTTCCTCTTCTTGTCAGATCAATGTTCACCTTGAGAATGATTTTCAAGGTTATTTGAAGGTCAACTTTGTTGTTCTAAATAGAAACCCCTATTTTTTATCCCGGATTCGGAAAGGGCGGGAAATTTTACGTTCAAATCATGTAATAGGTGTGGGGTTCAAATGACCCCCACCCTACCCCCAAAGTCATTTCGAGGTTAAACTTACTTTTTAAATAGGACCCTTAATTTTTCGTCGCAGGTTTGAATTCTACATGAAATTGTACGTTCAGATGATGGGATATTTATGGGATCTGAAAAACCCCCCACCCCACCCTCAAGGTCATTTCAAGGACAACCTTACTATTTGAATGGGAACCCTCATTTTTCGTCGTAGGTTTGAATTCATGACTTTGGTGGCGGTGGGGGGGGGGGTCATTACAATACTATTAAATTCAAATAGAAATTAAATATATAGGTTTCGAATATTTTTATTTTATTCTTATTTATAAAACTACAACAGCATTTCTCTTCGATTCAGTAAAATTTTCTTGTTTTTGTTTATAGTCTTGCATTTTTATACGTATCTTGTATTTTTTTTTGTAATCATTTATTTCTGAACCTTTTTTAGAAAGTTGTTCTTTTAAAGATTTTATAACATTCATGAGCTGAAAAATAAGAAAATAGTTATATTTATAAATATCAGGTGAAAAATCATACATAAATACATGAAATATTTTCTATGCATATAAGTAATTCTCCAGATATTTCAAGACAATAGATATTTTTGATTTTCAGTGTAGTTTGAACATTATGAGTATTAGAGATCATACAATAGCTACCAATAACATGCTTTTGTGACATAAATCTTTACATGTAACTGATAGTACTACCGTGTAGGATATGTCACCCTTTTCAATTAAATGTATTTTTAAACTCCTAAATTTTAACAGGAAATTTTTTATAAAAATTCAGAAGAAAAACATCGTTTATTTTTTTGTTTTCTACTATAATTTTACAAATAATGTAGCGATTCTACCAGTGCCAATACAAAAGTTGTAGATAATTGAGTAATGAACAAAATGAGCTGTCGCGCGACTTTGTAATATTATTACAATCAAAGATAACTCAGAAAAACCATGAAATTTGACACTTAAAAAAAAATTCGTTTCTCTATCAATTGTCATCTTGGTGACCCCAGATTTGAAATGCTAGTTGCTAGGTGTATTTACTAAAGTGCGCGAAAAAATGCTGATTCTGTGCAACAATTAGTTTTCGCGCAATTAGCATTTAAACAAATTAATGCAAAATTTTCCAAGGCGTCCCCAGTCGATACGGATAATTCAATTTTATATTCAAAATCGGTATCGAAAGATAGACATTTTTCGATTCAAAATATATATTCTGATTTTGAGAAAAAAAAATAAGAAATGGACCAGAAATAACGCGGAAGCCCAACGTTTTCGGCTGAACGGACCGATATAGTCGAGTGGTAGGGAGAGCAGCGGCGGAGGCGAGCCGCGCATATATAATAATACATGCTGTAACGGGGGAGGTTATCTGAAAAATGGAAAATTTATTTAAGAACAAACTCCCACGATACAGAGCAAACCGTCACTCCGTTTAGCGTAAAATGATAGTACGTGTATTCGCCTTAACGTCAGATGATTTATCCTAGTTGTCTTCTATCAAATGGAGTTGAACTCACCTTAAGTCACGTGTCTTGTGACACTCGATGAGTTTTAAGTGTGAGCGACTTTACTCCTAATCTTCTTAATCCTCTAAAGGTAATCAGATTAAAACCTAAGCCTTTTTCAATTACATAAGCTACTAGAAAAATTAAATGACGAAAACGGCGAATAAATTTAACAGACTTTAATTAATAAAAATCACTACAATCTTTGTAGGGCCGAAAGACTAACGCACGTGAATAGGATGTTACAATTAACTATGTTCGGTGAGAAAGAGAGAGAGAGAGAAGATTCGAATTCTACCGCGAACTAACGCTCGACGCGAATACAAAAATAACGCTAACACGATTTGACAAAATACCGAATGTATTTTGTATCGCATATAATGACGGAAGGTGCACCTACCATGCGGTGCAATTACGGTGATCAGCCGTAATTGTTGATGCAAAGTTATCAACTGCCGCTGCCCCTCGATTAATCAGCTGCGCTGCCTTGTACTGCCTCCAATTAGCTACGATACTTCTTCTGCACTGCTGCTGCTTTTTACCTCGGGAATACCGTTGCATTCACGCACGAAATTGTTCCAGAAAACTATGTATTCGGCGAAAACAAAGTGCGACACAAATCGGCGGTAAATTCGCGTTCACAGCTGAGTTCGCGTAACTGCTCATTCAAAAGATCGTGCGCTCCCTCTCTCTCTTAATTGTTAGAACTAACGCGCGAGAAGCAGAATCGCGAACGGTTCGATTAATTAAATCGACTACCGTTGCAATGCATAGCTTATACTATAGCGTATTCTGGATTACCTACGATTATTTTTTCAACTATTTGAACAATTTTACTAATTTCTTTTTTATTTTGCGTATTATAAGAATATGATCATATTGTAAGTTATAATTATGTATTAAAGAAATATTATTCAACGTTCTATAAAACGCATAAATGTACTTGAATTATCTCGAGATTTAGAGCATCCAATAAGCATTCATACTCTATGTCCCTATCTTTCCGTTTGTTTGTCTCTCTGCCCCTGTCTCTCTCTCTCTCTCTCTCTCTCTCTGTGGTACGTACAACACCTCTTTCTTCTGCTCCGTCAATACTCTGCCTTACTCATTTTGTTTTCCTTCTTGGAGTGAAAACTCACTTTGCAGGGTATTCGCCAACTGCGGCTCTCATGCCTGGGCAATAAATTGCAATTTTTATTGCCTTTTTCGAGCCACGGAGGCGATTAAATACCCGGCTACACAACATAACCTACAAACTTAAGCAACAACGCCTTACACACACACGCTTCTGCACACCTACGCTTCTACACACTACGGTTTCATCTGTGCTACTACACACTACGCTCTCATCTGCGTCCACTGCATTAGCTGCATATCGTTGCTGCTGCACTCATTGAACACACTCGACTTTGCTCCAACCTGCCGTAGCTGTTCTCGACTGCATTCTACCTACATGTTGGTGAGAGAGAGAGAAAAAACACAAATCTCGTGCATGCCTATCTGCATCCTTATATGCGTTGCATAAATTTGCATTATTATATTCTCTTGCGTTCCCTTGCGTTATCGTGCATTTCATATAATACGTTCTCATAAGTATTGCTGAGTTTCCATATACTGTGTTTATGTTTACATTTAGCCTGTACGTTTGTATACCTGCTCAGCTGGGAAAAGTTGCTGGCTAGAGTCTGCTTGGCACGCAATCACCCGCGAAATTCGAAAATCGTCAAACTCTCTACGTTCGGACAATCAATTGTTGCCTCTGCCAGCATCTCTCGTTCAAGTAGCTTTCCCCTGTCTGTCTACACCGGCCTGGTTCTATGTCCAGTCAATGCGCTAAATGCCTGTTTTCCCTGCGCCGTATCGACAATACTCTTTTATGCACTGAATGTAACGCGCTCCTTCATATCGACTGTGTATCGCCGTCACTGCGTCCCAGGGGATCTGAACCATTCATCTGCAGGAGTCATCAACATACAAGTAGTAGTGACTCGTCGTTGGCGTCTGTCGTCGAGGCTCTTCCCCAGTCTTCACCAGTAGGTCCACCGGCCACTGGTGCGTCCCTCTTGCCTTATCTCTCCAAGAAGCGGCTCGCCTCGCCCACTCTGTCTAGCTTACACGTACCGAAACTCCATTGCCTGGGTCCTCCATTGTTACGCCGCAATTCTACAACTGTAGACAGATCCTCGCCTGCATCGTTGGAAAATTCCTCTACTGCCTCTCACCAGACTATACAGGTTGAGCCTACATCAGAGCCAATCATGTCTGATAAACCACCTACTTGGTTTGTTGGCTTCCTCGAGGAATTCCAAGACCTCAGAAGCGACATCAACTCTATCAGCTCCACTCTCCAGCATTCCGTCAAACAAAACGAGATCAACAATAAACTTGCTGCACACATTGATACCCCAGAGGTTATGGTTCGCGGGCTCCCCTCGCAGTTTAATGGCTCACTGTATGATGCCGCTCGCTATATATTAAGCGCCCTTGGTTTTGGCCACGGCCATGACATGCCTGCTATCGAGGCCACCCGAGAATGGTATCAGCCAAACCGCTACCAAAATGCTCAACAAAATGTCGACGCCCCCGCAGAGTCCTCTCACCCACGCCCCCCTTTTATCACCTTATCATTCTACCTCTCATCAACCTCCTCTCGCGATCGCGTTATCGCTGCAACAGCTCGTATTCGTGAGCTCACCGCCCTATCCATTTTTGGGTGCGGTGGAAGCACCCCTGTCTACGTGCGCCCAGTCTACCCCAAAGTCATCTACGATATCCTCACAAAAACTAGAGCTGCCTGCACATCTCTTGGCTATCTCCGTCCTGTAGTCCGCAATCTGCGTATCTTCGTGCGACCGACATTTAATTCTGAGCTTTTGCCGATTCTCTGCGAGGAGGATTTACACCTTCTCCCCCCCAATCAAAATCAAAACCGCTCAGCAAACCTCTCACTCAATGCTATTACCCCTACTCGTGGCTCTCGACCATTCATTCCACGAAAGTCCCAGCGACTGCAGCAACCACAAAGTAATCAGCATCAATACCCGCATCAGTTACCTTCGCTACTACAATACCAACAAGCGCAACAACCACCACAGCAACAGCAGCAGCAACCACCTCAACGGCAGTAACAACAGGAACCTCTGCATGGTCAGCAACTACAGCATCCGCCACCCCAATTGTCTCAACAGTTTCATCAACAACCCCCGTCCCTGCAGCAACAATACCACCAGCCCCATACGCTCCATGCCCAACCCCAGCATCAGCCACTCCAACAGCCCCAGCTACCGCACCTGCAAGCCACGCACCAACAAAAATGCATGCAGAAAAACCATGGCCGGAAAACGGCGCAAAACTCTGGTCCGCATCTGCTCCCCGTTCTGCCTGTTCATCCCTCATCCGCTGTTACAGCATCCTCCAATTCTCACACTGGCCAACCCCCACTTCTAAATCATCCGAGCATCAGTCCCGATGCTGCCCCACGAATGTCTTCACTGGCAATGGATACGGTGGAGCCTTCACTCTCAAGTGGGACGAACTACCGTCAACTTTCCCACATTGCAGAAGATGCATCCCTTCCAACTGAATGCACTATGGGAAATCCACCTACCATTGATTGACCCTCAGGATCAATACAGCCCCCAATTGTTGCCCCCCCTCCCATTTTCTGTGTAGCACACACAAATGTGAATCGCCTGAACCACGGCGGCCATTTCGCCCTTCTTGAGGACAGAGTATCCCACTCACACTATGACGCTGTTGCCATCACAGAAACGTTCCTAAAGGATACTGTGGCTGACTCTCACCTCTCTCTCTCTGGATTCAACCTATTTCGACATGATCGCTCAGCCATGGAAGGTGGTGGTGTTGCTCTCTACATTCGTGACAACTTCTCCGTTCGCATAATTGCCAAATCGCATCCTGATGACTACAATGCGTCGGAATTTTTGGTGGTGGAATTACGAGAACAACATG